ATATGACACAGCAAGAACACACCTAAGAGGGTCTTCAGGAGTTTCTTGAAAACTAGGCTATGAACCTAAGTATAAGACTGAGGTGAAGGTGTTGCCTTTAACAAGATATTTCATAAATGATCATCAGGGCTGCAGTAAAATGTAATCTCCAGTTCACATCCAGACAGAATTATTCTCTTGTCTCATGATCAGCAGCAGTTAGGGTGTTTGTGACCACAAAGTTGTTGTTTTTTTCAACAACATGCCAACTTTCAAATGAAGCACTCCTTTTTTTTTTGCCATTTTCTTTCTTGTTCTTACTCACTATTTCTGTTTGAATACCATCTATCCAGCTTTTTCTTATTTTTAATTGTATTTTGCAGATGATGTGGTCCTGTTGGCTTCTTCAGACAGTGATCTCCAGCGCTCACTGGAGCGGAGTGTGAAGCAGCTGGGATGAAAATCAGCTCCTCTAAATCCAAGACCATGGTCTTGAGTTGGAAAAGGGTAGAATGCCTTCTCCAGATCAGGGACGAGGTCCTGCCCCAAGTGGAGGAGTTCAAGTATTTCAGGGTCTTGTTCACTAGTCAGGGAAAGACGGAGCGTGAGATCAACAGGCGGATTGGTGCTGCGTCTGCAGTGATGCAGGCGTTGTACTGGTCTGTCATGATGAAGAGAGAGCTGAGCTGAAAGGCAAAGTTCTTGATTTACCGGTCGATCTACGTTCCTAACCTCACCTATGGTCACGAGCTTTGGGTAGTGACCAAAAGAACGAGATTGCATGCGGATATAAGCGGCTGAAAGGAGTTTTCTCCTATGTTCCCTCTTGGTCTTTGACTCTTGGCTTGTTTCTGCGCTTACGCATCTTTTCTGACTTCGTTGTTACACAGAGAGACAGAGGGTGCATACATTTTTAATCAGTTTTACATACAGTATAAATGCCTACTGCATTTTTAATAACTCACCATCTCCCACAGACACGGCAACACTTTGCCCTGAACATTAGCCTTGTGTTGACTCTGCTGGTTTCTTGGCCTCGTACCATGAAACTCTCCTTCCTCGTGATGCTAAAAGCGGGAATTTTATGTAAGAACTGAAGTGATGATGCTGGTGGCCACATTCTGGAGCCTCAGGGTGAATTTTTATGGCTTCTGACAGTGTGCAAAGCAGGAAGAGCATTAAAGATGCAGGAGGGTTGAGCCTCGGTGGTCACTGATCAGTGGTACTTTACAGCAGAATTAAAATGAAATACAGACCCCAGTGTAGTCTGTGTCTAAAAAGATAATGGTGCACATAATAATCAGGGAAAAGCAATAAATCCAAACAGATTCTGGTCTCATTTAAAAGTATGAGCCAAATGTCCTGTAAAAATATATTACACCATAATAAGGTTAACTTCTACTTTTACATCTGAAAGATAAAAGTTGCAAACAAAACAGGGACTTTTAAAAATATATTTCAGAGGCAGATTTAACAAAGACACGTGGTCTAATCCCACTTTGCTGTAACAGACCCACGTCTCTCTCCAGGTACTCCAGGCCTCTTAATGTGGCGGTTAGATTAAACATGAACATGCTTTACTCGAGTCAGAAATGTAATCTCCCTGAGGTCCGAGATCCTGGAAGGGGAAAAAAGAGGTTACTCATAAACAGGACTTGTTTAGTCAGCTGTTTCTGTCCCAACCCAAGGACAAGAGGAAGTCTTCTCCTTAAGCTTGATTTATACCTCGTCTGCGTGGGTATGGAGACACGCAACGCCATTATACGTCGGTGTAAGGCCTATCCGACGGGCTTGCAGAAGCTGACGAACACATGCCCAACTTTTTAACAATTTGTCAAAAGTGACGAAGACCGCAAGCTTGTGATTGGTCAGGATGCCACTATCTTTATTTATTTACTTATATTTCTAGAGGATTTAAGCCTTTGACATGCATCATCTCGTTTTCAAGGGGGTCCTTCTTTGAAACACCGAAACAATAAGAGATAGCGAGACCATCAGTGGCATAAGCCAAATAAACGAGAAAAAAAAACACCTCGCTTTGACAACATGGCTGTAATAATCTGACTTGGCATTTCTAGTTTTAGTCATGCACATATTCCTTAGTTTACTTTTCTGATGTTTTCTGATATCACACTTCCACTCTATTTTAATAAACTTTATTGTTTTCCTCTTTTTCTTTGATAGCAACATTTCTCAGTGATCACTTAAACATGGAGCTGAAGCCGCTTGGCTAAAGAAAGCACACAAACAAGTATAACCCTAAACCTTGGTGTTGTAGTAGCTGAGGACCATCCCCAACACATACTCCATAATGTCAGCACTAACTCACACTCACCCAAATAACTCAAACGCTAAAAGCCCAGTGAGAAGTTTATTATGAAACATGTACATTACGGAGTCTGATCAGAGGCAATTGGGACTTTTATTTTTTAGGATGGTTTTGTCAGTGTTACATTATATTCTAATCATTGTAAGTGTTTTTTGCTTACAGCTAGCTGAAGGTACAGAAAACAAAACATTCTGTAGTATCTTACAGCGGTACTTATTATTTTTGTTTGCCAATTTTTGGTTTTATTCCCAAGAAGCTGAGGCTGTGCAGGTGCATGCAGAGATTAAATGTTAACCCCGGGTCCTGTGTGGCTGCTGACAAAGCAGAAAGTAGAAAATGTCTCCTTTTAAGTGCATTATGTTTGGTTTTCCTTGCACTACTACATAATTAACCTAAACCTCCTCTTAATGCGATGCATCTGACAGATGGAAAAATTGTTGCCATTAGCTGTGTAGTTAGCAGTTAAAGCAGGATGGATGACTGGTACATTTATGATGTCTCAGATATCTTCATTAAATCACCGTGGCTTCAAACAACAACATCCTGCCGTTGGCTCCTTAAATGAAGCGGAGGTCGTTTTTGCCCGCTGGTTTTTCCTCTAACGTAGTTTGACTTTTTCTTTAAAGACAATATAAGACTGCAACTGGTGCAAGCTCCAAGTTGGAAACTCAGATCAAATTATGTCACCGCAGATTGCTGGTGGTATTAATGCTCTCATGGCAGGAGGCAACATGAAAATGAAGAACTAGAATCTTGTGTTTAACTAAATTTGTCCATATTATGAATTAACTCTCATTAGGAAAATTTATTATCCGTTAATCTGATGAGTTAATGTGAATCGCTGTAGGCACCAGTGATTAAAATATTCTGGAGAATGTATTTTCTTGGTGTGGACATCCTCCACCCGCCGGTGGGGGCGTCAGCCCCGCTTTGGCCTTAGAGTGTGACCTCGCGCTCTCTGAATACGGGAACATGGCAGTGATGCTGTGAAATGTCACTTTGCCGCTGCTCACAAAGGCAGCGATTTGCTGTGGGGCTTTAATCATTGTGGTGGAAAACAAACTGGAACAAAAGTCACAGTTAAAGGTCAGACTGGAACCACTGGAGCCATTTGTAATATCAGGGATAACACATAAATATTATACTGATTATAGATGTGCATAGCAGTTAAAGAGCAAGTCACCCCCAAATCACTTCTTTTTTTTTTTTTTTTTTTTTTTTGCTGATAAGCTGTATAAATGAGGGTCTAATAGTGCTGTGTTGTCAAAATTTTGGAATTTTAGTGCTTCTTATTTAAAATAATGATGCATTCAAAGTACCTTTAATGGGGAAGCTGGGTGGTTTTGGCTTGCTTTTAGCACCCCCTAGTGTATGTTTGTAGAACCAAAACATTGCTGTGCATTTGTCTTTTTAACACCTTAATCTTAACCAACTCAGGCTCTAAATTAGTTTTGATGAAAGGACGAACAACTAAGTCCTTCAGGGGTACTTGCTCATGAAATACGTATGTGGAGTAACCGGGTAGGTAGGTTTTAACGTTGCAAATCTGAAACGCCTGGCTCCAGAGGGTTAAAGCTGAAATGTCTCCTCAGTCTTCATTAATTCCATTCAATTCTATTCAACTTTATTTATATAGTGCCAAATCACGACAAGAGTCATCTCAAGGCACTTCACATAATAAACATTCCAATTCAGGTCAGTTCATCAAGCCAATCAGAAAAAAATGTTTCCTATATAAGGAACCCAGCAAATTGCATCAAGTCACTGACTAGTGTCAGTGACTTTACAGCAATCCTCATACTAAGCAAGCATAGAGCGACAGTGGAGAGGAAAACTCCCTTTTAACAGGAAGAAACCTCCAGAGGGGACTGGGGATCGAGAAGACAGATCACACACACACACACCAAGCAATGTGTCTATGGTTTCATTGTGATGTCTTAGTAAATATTCTATTTGGTGAGAGATAAACTTTATTGTATTTATCCTGGTGGATCTATAATTAAACGGGTAAACTAGCAGTAGCACATCCAACGTCAAGGAAAGCAAAAAGTTATTATCAGGAGAGGGAGAATGTGTCTACAGGAGTGATTCATCACTAAATGAAACAAATCAGCTGTGTTCATGATTTAAAACATGCTGGAAGCAGACTGCAGTGCCAGGAATGTTAGCTTAATTTTTTTCTAAGTCCCAACTGAGCAAGTAAATATTCTGGCCATGATATGGGGCAGGGTGGCCTTTCATTAACCCTGTAAAGCACGGCTATTCAATTCCGGGTCTGGAGGGCACATTAATGGCTTCTCTGCTCTCACCCATTTGATTCAGTGGTTGAATCACCTGTGCAGCAGCTCATCAGGCACTGCAGCAGCCTGTTGATCAACTGCTGATTGAAATCAGGTGTGTTGAAGCAGAGTTAAAACTAAAACATGCTGGATACTGGCTATATAGGCCTGAATTAAATAGCCCTGCTGTAAAGAAAATTATTTAACAATATGAAAAAGGTGCAAAGTTTCCCTTTAATGCATGGCCTATGTAAAAATAAGGGAAAAGGCAAGAGACACCAGTTTAAATTCTAGCTCCTCTACTTTCACTTTGCCTTTTTCTACAAATTTTTTCTGTAATATTTCAGGAAATCAGCTGTCTTTACTTCAACATTTTTATCCAACAAATAGGTCAATTAAAGATAACCCAAGAGTTAGCAGACCAAGTTGTTTTTATTATTTATGAACTGCATGTACAATGTAAATGTCATCCAAAGTCTTTCCAGACGTTCCTTCCCAAATGGATTACTTAGAACAAGATCAAATGTTCAGTTTTATTTAGTTAGTGATTTCGTTTTTGTTTTTCATATTAAAAGCACTTGTGGTTTAAGAAAATTAGTGTCATCTTAGCCCAAGTTTTTCTTTTTGTTCAGATTTTCTGTTTCAGATGAAGGTGAACAACAAAGTCCCCTCCTCTATATTTACAGATTTCTGGGAACACTGTTCTTGCATCATATTGTGCTTTGTTTACTTGAACACTTAAAGACTGAACTGCATTTCAAACATAAAACAACACAATAAAAGTGAAAACCAGCCTTTCTACTTCTATTTGCTGCAAAATGAGCTTTCAAATCAGTGTTTTCTTCAAATCTCACCACTCACAGTCCTGTTTCCTTTTGCAAACCTGCCTGTTTTCTTTTTGTTTGTGTAAAAGCTTTTAAAGAAAAGTAGCTTCAGCCACTACCATGCTCCCCCCTGATGATAGCACAGCCAGAGAGAAAAATAACAAGCAGAGCTTTGAGGGAAAAATGAACAAACAATCCTTCAAAGAGCTCCACAGGACAGGACTCATTCATGTTTTTACCACGATGTTCTTTATGCAGTGCAGCGGTCTGACAAAAATTCACCAGTAAATAAAGTTCATGTGCAGTTGGGTTCGTGTGCATTGGCTCACTGGGAGGTTCTGGTCCCTACATCAGCACACAGCTTTTGGCTCGGTCCTTTCTAACGGGGGGCGGGTGCTCATGAATCTCAGTCCGAGGGGGCTGCTGCGAGACCCGCTTGTGGCCACGACGCGTGCAGACCCTTTTGAGATGAGGCCGGTGAATGTTGGACATGGACGCCAGGGTGGTGACGTGGAAAACGTCACGGACGCTGTTCTCTGAGTACTTCGAGGTGCACTCTGCGTAGGCCACGGCACCTATCTGTCTCGCCAAACTGGTGCCCTGAAAATACAGAATGTGTGTTTGTTAGAATGATAAAGAAATACACACACACACACACACACACACACACACATGCACAATGAGATGTCAGTAAAACACTAATTTACCACCTAAAGGAATGAGAAATGTTTTAGATTATCATGCCAGTAAGCATGTAGCATACACTTATCTCAGTGTGCCTGGCTGGAACTAATTCACATGTTAAAATGATTTTTGTAAGTTATAAATAATTATTGTCTTATTTAAATAGCTTCCTGCTGGTTGAAAAAATAGTTTACATCCAGTATGACTGATAAGCTAATGGCTAGTCTGATTGCTACCAAGACCAAAGTCGATTTTTGCTGTTAAAAATTACAGTCTAAATTTCTTAGAAGTTTATACAAATGTTTTCATATAAACCTTTTCATTGCCATATTTTTTGTATTATAATACAATTTTGGGTAAAATATGAAGACACTCCTGAATGTTCCAGAGGCGTTATGTTTAGCTAATGCTAGTGATATCTACATTTATAAATACCCATGTGATGTGGTCTTTGGGTCTCCTTACTGAGATCACTTCTTTCTACTGCAGATAAGACACTGACAAAGATAAGGTTTCCATATAACTCCACCCAAAAATCCTTTCCATCCTTTTATGCTTTTTATTGGTTCTAAAGAAAACAGTGTATTTCTAACGTATTTTTAGTTTGGAATGGATTGGGGAAAACATCTTCTATTTGATTTAATCCTTCATTTGATGACAGAAGAGATGAAACTACATCAGAATCAGGAAAGGACACCAGATTCCGCCTCAACGGGTCAAGTGGGGGTGTCAGAGGCAAGAGGCAGACTCTAAAAAATGTACGAATGCATTAGGTTTTATAGCACCTGAACAACAAATGTTCTCATCTATATGCTTCGGTTTGGGTTTGGTTCAAGTTCAAAAACCAGTCGCTGCCAAAAACAAACACTTGCAGCCAGGAGGAACACAATCTGAGTGCATGTGTGTGTGTTTGTGTGTGTGTGTGAGAGGGAGAGGCATCATCTGGTGGATTATTTATGGTCAAACATCCTTTAAAACTGTTATGCTTCTGCTACAACGCAGGGGAGCCAAATGAAGTATTTATCCAACAAAACAGCTTGACATTTGGGGAACTCATTGTTTGATTTTTATTACACACTGAGTGTGCAGTTTTAAGACTATTTTCTCTAAATGCATTTGTATTTATTTCATAAATCATCCATTCCTTGTGTATTTGGAGAAATAAAGTCATTATGTTAAAAAAAACTCCAGCTTACAGCAATAAAATCTTGATAGCTTGTTGGGGCAAAGAGAAAATATCCTCCCCAAAGTGATGAAATATTCAGCACCTATCTTTGTGACTAAAGCACAAAAAGCTCAGTTTATTCCTGGTGGTGTTTAACAATGTTTTAACTGTGGATGGCTAAAGTTAAACATAAAAACGCTGTTTCTTCACATTTCCTCATGACTCTGTCTTTATCCCAGCGTATGACAGGAAATCAGGGATTTAGCTCCTAAGAAGCATAACTCCCCTTTCATTCTGGGTTTACAACACATCTTTTCTTTCCTTTCTATTTCGGTTTTAAACACACACACACTATAAGTTATGATTTTACAATTTCCCATCGTGACTCATTTGTTCAGATTTGGAAGCTGTATTTTTTTATTTCTTCTTCTGAAAATTCCGCCGACAAGGATTCCTAAGGATTTTGTTAATCAACAAATAAAAATAACATAGATAATTAAATATGCTGTTCCAACAGAACAAAAAGCAAAAGTGAAACTATTAAAACCGGCTTTTCCTGTCTGCAGGTCGTGGCCCAGAACAGTTATTTAAACGAGGTGCAGAACTAAAGTAGTTGGTTCCATCATCCATCCTCTGCTTTTTCTCTCCGTTTGCTCGTTCTTTGTCTCTCTCCGTTTCTGTCAGTTGCCTAACAGCCAAATGAGCTTGGGGACATTTGTGTAATTAATTGATTTGTTTGTTTTACATGAATAAATATATCCAAACTTCTCACGAGTATATTTTAAAAACCATTAATCCCATGACAACAGAAGTAGTAAAGTTCTTCAGTATTTTTTTTTCTTATCAGCTCAGTCATGCAGTTCACATCAGTAGGATGAACTTGTTCCTGCTGTTGCATATTCTTCTGGTTTTGCCACACTAGTGTTTCAGATCAGAAAACTAAATTCAAAATCAGACAAAGATAACCTTGTTGCAAGTTCCTGCGGGTCAGAAACTGCGGCAATAAGCGAGGTCCACAGAACTTGCTTCTGGGAGTAAAATTGGGCAGAAGGTCAAGAAGTGTCTGACCCAGCCATCAGCAGGAGAGCTGGAACCAAAGGAGGCAGACTGAAAAGAGCTTATCAGGAGACGACAAGCCTTCATGAAGAATCCTGGACTTCGGGAGAAGCTGAAGATCAGTTGCAAAAATGATACCAAAAGTCTTGTGTTGAGCTAAAATGTATGAAACTGACAAATGACCCCATTGTTTTGCTGTCATGTGATAATGATATATGTGTAACTTGAAAACTTTTACTTTGTCTAGGCTGTCCCAAAAAGAGTATATAAAGGGACAGCAGAGACAGAGCGAGTGTGTGTGTTAGCCTGGAGCTGAAGAAGACTTAGAGTTGGTGCAAGTCAACTGATTATTCTTAGTTAATTATTAGGATTAGCATTTCTCCTTGGGGGAAGTGATCCGTCTTATATCTACCTATTTTTTGTATTTTTTGGTCTTGTAATAAACTTTTTGAAAAAGAATTCACATTCCTGATTCTTAAAGGTCCTTTTTAAAGGTTCGAGTGGGAGCCCCGATCCCGAAACAATAGGAGAGGTAAGCATATTGTAATTACAGGTTCCTGAATTTTCAGGACTTGCTTTACAGTTTGTGACAGATTAAGAAAAAGAAACCTTAGGTGAAGAAGCTAGTCTTCTCCTCTCCCGTGGGTAAGGAGATATCCTAAGGATTGATAAGCCAAAACATTAGTAGGTTAAAACAGGCTCTGTTTGCAAGTGTGAAAAAGTCTTTGCCAGCGTGGGAAGGTTGGATTAATTAGATTAATTGATAAATCTATGTTAGCCTGATCAACTAACAAGAATCATTTTCTAGTTACCACAAAGCTGACAGAGGCGCAAATTAATCCTAATATGACCCAAAGAATTGTCAGCATGACCGGCCCTCAGCTGAACTTTCGCCTTAGTATTTAAAACAATCAAATAACAGGAGAAATCAAAAGGAAAGTGTGCTATCACAAAAGAAACAATAAAACTCACCGACGCCCCACGAACCCTGAGAAAGCAGCGCAGTCTTAGGTTCTAACGGAACCAACAAATAGGACACGATCGCGACATGGCGCCCAACGTGGGGCAAGAGGGAAGGTCTAATATTAGATACCGGACTCACCGAAGTAGAACTGTTTTCTAGGCTGATAAAAGCTTGCGCACTATGGACCTAATATGCTTATAACCTTGGAGCGAAACCCGCACCAGTTTCTCGAAAAGGAAAGAAACCGGGAGAACGGACGATTAACTTGAAAAGGTATAAAGAAATTACGGCTTGACGACCGACGCAAGAAAAGCCAAGGATAAAACTAGGCAAAAAATAAATAAAAATAAAGAATAAGAATAAAAAATAAGACGTAAGAGCGAAAAAATAAATAAAAATAAGAAAAACTCTTAACCAGCCATGGCAGATAGATCTTTAACAGTAAAACCGGAGAATATTCTCCTTAACGTGAGATTTGTAACCGGAGAAATAGCCACATATCAAGGCGAACCACAGGGCATTTTAGCAGTGTCTTGTAATCGGAACTTTCAGAATGAAGCAGGAACAGCTCGAGCTGCGGCTGAGCGCTTTCCGAATGCTGAAACCCAAGTGAGAAGTGCTCATGTTTTTCCGTTAGTGGGAGATTTGGTGCTTTTGGGAGAACAGCGCAGCGACCCCAACTTCACTGAAGAAATTACTTGATTAAAAGTCATGGCTGAATTGAAATCTAGTAAAGAGGTGATATGCCAGAATTTGTGTAGCACGGGCCTCGTTTTGGTATCGCGGGGAGGTTCTGTCACTGACTGTAAAGTAGCCATGTTTCCTAGTTTCGCAGCTTCCCCTGCCACCGGGTATCGTTACGCTCAATGGAGGGGCTGGAAGCCGGGATCATGTGTAAGATGTGGAACTCTTTGTTCCTTAATTAAGTGGTCGGGGCTCCGGGAGGAGAAACCGTGCCACCTGTAAAGGGGGACGGACTTATACCTGGAAGCATTGGAACTCTGCCCCAATTAAAATTTGTTTTTGCAGGACCTGCTTGAGACATGAACCTAGCATCATCTCCTGGCAGGTCTGTGAGTGCACCCATGGAGGGGAAAGCAGAGACGGGTGTTGCTTTATAAAAAAATGGCGTTTTGTTGATAGGAATGATCTTAGCCTGCAGATATGAGAAGAGACAGCTGATCAGAGAAAAAAGCACCTAGTCAGCAGAGCAAAAAGAGACAAGCAGAAAGTGCAGGACGTGGTGACATCACCCCTCCCCCAGCAAGTTCTGTTAAGAAGTGGGAGTCCTGAACTAACAGCTCCATATGATTCTGACCTGACAGAAAGCTACGCTGATAAAGTGCAAGCAGACCTGTCCTCCCCTATTCGGCAAACCTATAAAGGAGAGCTGAAATGGAAAATCATGTTTCAAAGGGGATGCCACTTTATAGGTCAGAGAAAGCCCTTGGATTGCTTCCAATTTATAAATATGTTGTCTGTAAAGACTGGATGGTTTGGCCCTGAAGTCAGTGTGTCTTTTGGGACAGCCCCTTTGTTAGACACGAGAAATAATCTCTTGGTTTTCAGCACAAGCTTCCCACAGCAAATGCTGGGCTCACTCCCATCTGGAGAGCATTAGGTGTTGGATCTCTCCTTGTTCTTCCTGGGAGAGGATGTCCCGGATGGGAGAAGAAAGTTTAAGGGATAAGTAACAACTCGCAAGGGGACCCTGTGTTTGCCAGTTTCTGA